TTAATTAAAAACATCTTTTTAAAAAAAGTAGTAAGAGCTTGAAATTTTGTGGTTGATTTTAGCTTGTATGCACTGTAGTCGAATTCTTTATGTCGATCTTTCTATTTTAAATTTCTAATTAAAAAAGTGATTTCTACATATCAATATTAAGACAGCTTTAAAAGAAACAAATATTAACAAGGAATCGGATACTGCTATAAAAAGATTTCAAACTCTTGGTATAATGGAAAGGTGCTTATCTTTTTGTTTTTCGACTAGCCATTGTTTTTTTGAGAGTACCTTACATGTTATTGGCGTCGCTGGGAATTCTACTCCCTATATATAAATCATGCTTTTACGATAATTCTGATGTGAATTTCAACAAAAAATGAATAGCTCCGAAAAACTTACAGAAATATGCGAACAACTGGATACAGTAGTTCTCGAATACCTCGATCTCATTTCCAGTTACAAAGAGCAATGGAAACGAATCAGTAAAGAATTAGAAAATGTAAGTTATCACATCTTTTGACCCATATTTTGTTGTGGCTTCGCTGTGGTGATTATTGGAAAAAAAGGGATTTCTATCACTAGCTCACGCAAAATATGCTATGGGGCCGAGTTTATTAACTCAACACCAATATGACGGACGAATGAAAGCAGATACTAGAGTGTAATAATCGATTTTTTTTTTGGTATTTTGGTATTGTACTTTCTTCACTTCGATTTCGTCTTGGGATGATAATGAATAATTTTGTGTGTGTGTTTTTTTTAGTATAATATCTGAAAATCAAGGAGCCAAGGCGAATTCTTTCGATAATGAATTAGGACAAAGTAATAATTGTCAACTTATTTTGATCAGTGGTATTTTAGATGGTCCAGAATTAGACATGTTATTTGCTGGTGATATTGCTGCTGACACTTTAGAAGCTGGCGGGTTAAGGCAGCGCAATATCAAGGTTTCTGAAAAAGAAAATAACATTAATATGTCGGAAAATTTGGAAAAACATAATTACACAAAAAAAAGATCCATCAAAAATCCACTCAATTGGTTTGGAATTTTGGTTCCGTCTTCACTAAGAGAGTCACAAAATAGTTTCAAACAAGGTAAGTAAATACATAAATTTTTTGCTGGAATGTGAGTAAATAATTATTTCTCGGTTAATATTAAAAGTTTATGTTTTTATCATAAAGGATTACAAGAGATGATTAATATAATTAATATGCGGACTAAAATTCACGTCAAAGGACAAGAATACAAGAAACTGAAGGTCGAGAAAGAATTATTTCTATCAAGTTATCATAATATTAATAATGATGCAATAGATGCAGCAGCAACATCCAAGCAAGAACAAGTATATCCTGATGCATCAGATTTAGACCTTGATGGATGATGATGAAAAAATTGAAGAACGAGAAGACGAGGAAACGGAAAGAGACCGCTAAATTAGATTGCTTAATTTTGCCCATTTTTTGATTTATTTTAAATATATACAATTCAATTTTTGCTTACTACTCTCATCAAGATTTTCTAATTTTTTTGTTATACTTCTTTTTGCCAGAACTTGATTTTGTTGCTTCCTTAGCAGCAATATCAGCTGCTGTTTCTGTAGGGTTTCGCCGTTTATTCGACTCTGGAATTTTTACGCTGACCATTGTAGATGCATTGCTTTTTTTATATTTACTAGCATTAGAAATCTGAGTTTCGGCAGCTTCCCATTCTTCAGCATTCTCGCTAATTGCGTATCTAGTCAAGATATACAATTGAAAATTAATTTCTTGATATGTCAAAAACGGGAAACATTATACCAATTAAAAAATGTATTTTGCTCACTTTGATAAATCCATCGAATCAATAAGCTCCCGTTGATTTGTTCTCATTTGATTCATTATTTCATCACCCGCTTCTTCAAGATCATCGTCTAATGCCTGTTGCATAGGATCCCATGCAGCTTCATTTTCAGGGTTACTAGAAGTGACACTATTATTACTATTATTATTATTAGTTGACGATTTCTTTTTTTGAACTATTGTCGTTTCATGTGGAATGATTGCTTGGACGGCAGCCGTCTCGAGAGACGTGAAATATTTAGAGATTTTGCGAATTATTTTAATGAATAGTGCGAGTATTTGACTCGAAGGTAGAGTCAATTCTTTCTGTGTTATTTAATAATAAATGCCGAGTATCCGGTTAAGATAAAAAATATAAATCGAGCCCAATCTAATACATACCTCTAAATCAGTAACCGATTTCCTCTGTAGTCCAATCCCAAGCAAAATAGAGCTTTGCACACCCGAAAGATTTGCTTCATTGCCCAATTTTTCTTCAAAATGTAAAGAAGCTATGGTCGGAATTAAATCAAGAATAACATGATAATCCAGCATATTATTCGAATAGCTTTCAAGTCGTTTCAAATCATAACTTGTAAATATAAGACCGAGAGACTCTTTTGTTAATGCTAAATATATGAATAATAAAAAAATACATTGATTAAAACAATCGTAAAATAAAATCATAATTATATATAACGATGCTGAAATTGACTCCCACTTCTTGTAATTTTAGGATCTTGACTTCCAAAATTAGCAGCTGCTAATATGCTCAACGCCAAAACGCTCGGAAATGTCCTAAACTGATAAGAGAGCAAACTCAAAAAACGTTTATGAAAGTCTTTGGAAAATAACGCCAGCCAATCAGGTGAACATGTTGTTGTCAAGTCTTCACATTTTAAGGCTTTCAACATGACGCAAGTATGCTCGCCCGTTAGTTCATTAGGAGTTTGACGTAGGTAAAGTGGAACAAATCCAGCACGTTTCCAAAATTTATGGAGCGCGCGAGTTAAGCCGTATGATACGCCGATATAATGTAGTCGATTGGGACGTTTTTCCGATAGTTTCAAAAGAAGAGGTGGCATTTTATGAGGATCTCGAATTTTGATTGCCTCTTTGTGGATATCTGAATTCTATTATTAGGTAAAGAGACTAGGCCATGAGGATATAAAATTTCAAGCACTTTTAATTAGTATTAACTTACTTCGAAGTCTGATTCGGAAACTTTTGGAATGTTTTCTTCTTGGAAACTGTCGTCTTCATTCAAAGAAGCAAATTCACCTTGATAGAAAGCAGTAAGTAATTCTAAACATCTTGATCCATAACCCATCTATGAATACAAAATAAAGAGCCATACATGAGTTGATCTCAATTAACTTAATTAATAGAAAATTGAAGTTACTTTACTTGGATATAATCGGGATGAGTCGCAATTCGAACCACGCGAGCACCCGATAAACTTGCGAAATCATCATCTTGAAACTAGAAATAAATAAATTATTTATTCATTTTTATTTTCGGACTGTACATATAGGAAATATACCTGTTGAGAAATTAGCCAGGGAATCAAGTCACCACTAGCACGTTGACCACGACCTAAACTATTATATATGGTTTGTTTAGATATTTCGCCTTCTAAACAAACCTGAAATATAATTTTTGATTAAATTTAAAAACTCAGATTTAAAAGCACAAAAGATGGTACATTCATTGTATATTATTACCTGAACAACGCATAGTGGATCAGGCAATGAGTGATCGTCTTCTTTGATTGGAGGCAATAAAACGAATAAATGGTGAGCTGGCGCATCAGACATCAACTGTAAATCATTAGGTGAATTTTTATAGTGACTAGCAACGTAAAGAGCCATCATTCTTTGGAGAAAAGTTTCTGATACGGGATGAAAAGAGAACAAAGTATCCCTATTAACATAATATAATTCACATTGTTGGGGATGTGGACATCCTTGAATATTCTTGGACACAATGGTAGCATCTAAACATAATAATTTGTTTAACCATCTTTCAATTGAATCATCTCGCGCGTATCGAATTGGCTCTTCGAGTTTGATTTCACGTAAAGTGCGACCACCCAAAGAGACACCATCATGAGATATCGAATTTTTTGTTTTGCCATCACGATTAACGGTGGTAGACTCTTTATCGTATTGTGCAGATTTATTTTGATGCCCGATGAATCCTCGTGACTGTTCTCGTAATTGCTGTATAAGTTTGAGTGAAAGCGATCTCCCGGTACCTTCATACCCATTGATAGTTGAGGCTAAAAACACTAAATAAGGTCCAAATAGATTTTTTACAATTGGCAAAGGTATGGCTGCAGCTTCATCAATAACAACCAATTCAGCTTGACCAAGTGTGTGAGAATCTTGCGGTTGAATATACTATATATAATATAGTCAAATTACTTTTAATCATTTTCAAAGTTTAAATAATATAAAAAAATGATGAAAATAACAAACTACCTGAATTGTTTGTCTATGCTGTCTAAAAACATTTACTCTGACAATCGCTTTATTGAAATCGGGATTCGTTGATTGCACAATATCATAGTCTAAATGTTCTTCGTATTTCAAAGCATCAAATCCTTTGAAAATAAATTCAAATAATGTTTTCAAATTCTCTGGACTGGGCGAAGTTACGAAAATATTGGAATATCCGTAAGCGATCGCAGCAGCTATCGCAATTCCCAAAGCCGCAGATTTACCGCGACCACGAGATGCAGTAAGTGTCACAGTACTCCGCAGCGTTTTTTCCGAAATTGCTTCGATAAAAGTGAGAACTGCTTTCGCTTGATCAAGCGTTTTTGCTGTTTGAACGAGTGAACCGATTGGTTGTGTATCAGCTAATGAAGACTTTAATTCATTGAGTTCTGTTTGTTGAGCTGGTATTTCATCAGGTGATGATTTTAATGGAAGTGGTTTTACGTTCTTTCCTGCTGAGATTGGTAAAACGTTTAGTTCGTCGTCTACCACCAGACAATTGTCACAGGATCCAAGTGAAAGAATGAATCTTTCGTTGAATCTTGCGGTGACGTCGTCGTGTGCATCGGTTCGATATCGAGCGTGTACATCCTATATTATAAATTATTTCGTTTCTATTTTTAAAGGTAATAATGTTCAGAATTCAAAATAATAATAATTATAATAATAATTTTATATTACCATTGTTAAAGTGTAAAGCTGTTTCAATGATTTCATCGTCTTTAATAATAACACAACAATGCCACCTCCTTCAACTGTTTCAATTGTGCGTGCCAATAAATTTGGCGTTAATGCTTCAAAATCCTAATTAATTTGTTTATTGTGATAATCGATCAAAATGAAAGAATACACAATTTACACATTGAATTTCGCAGTGATGCCAACTATGACTTAATAATATTATACTATGATAAAACATTCCATTACCTACCTGCAAAACACACATTCCAAAAGTATTTCCCAAAATTTTATGCGTCTCTTTATAATAAGTATATCGAATATTCGTGACGGCAATAAAAAGTTCAAATGGATCTTCTTCATTTGGATCTCGGATACCTTTTTTGATTTCTTTTTTTATTTTTGCTTCGCGTTTTTTGCGATGGCTTTGAAAATTTATAGCATTAGTACAGTAATAAGGGTAATAATTGCAAGGTTGATTGTCAGAAATCAAATAACCTCGTGAAACCGAGTTCTTTCTTATAGCACCATAATACTGAAGGTCGTGAGGCAACTTGAGTTTGTGAAAGTAGCCAGTGTAAGTTCACCACCTATAAAATATATACATTTGAAGATAAATAAATAAAAATGTCTTTGGATAGAAAGAGCCCTTTTTACCTGATCTCTTCCTTTGTCTCCAATAATAACAAAAAATGAACGATGCTTATTTTGCACGCCATTTTTTACTAGTGTAGGTATTCTTGAGTCTATAACCTTTTTGACCATGACTTGCTTGAATTGCTAAGAAAATTCGTCGATCTTTTTTTATTTTTGGGAGTGACACTAAAGCCGGGTAATGCAATCCGGATCGAGTCAATCTATATTGATTTGATCCGGATTGTCACATGCAAAAATACAATGTTCTTTTTTTGGGTCATTAATACCAATTTTATCGTTCTCACTCACTCATGACAGAACCTTATTGGCGTAGTCCCCTGCATTTGTCCACTAGTGTTGGAGGGGGACCTTCTAATAATACCGCATATCCTACCTTTGGCTTTGCTTCGCCTTGGTCGGAAACACCAGCTCGCAATCAAGCAATGGTAACGAAACGCGATTTTCTAAAAATTGAACTCAATAATCCCATGAATGCTCTGTCTGCATCACCTGACCAAACGCGTGTTGTAGTAGGCGGTCACCAAGGCACATATTTAATCAGTCATTATGTTTTTGTACGCGCATCTTCTAAAAACACGACTTACCCTCTTTGTATTTTTACCTTATAGTGCTTAAAACGTTCAGAGTTACTGAAAAAGGAGCTGAAGAGGAAATGAATCTTAGATATAGGAACAATGATAATAAACAAAGCATTAACGATGTAAAATGGGGAAATCAACGTAAGGTTTGTTCTTTGATTTTCTTTTTAATTCGAGGATTTATAATGGAAAATTAAATATTATTTATTCGATTATATTCTTTTTTGGCACAAAAGATTCCAAAAATAAAATAGCAGCAGCATCTAATAATGGATATATTCTACTGTGGGATGTTGGAGGTGGTAGAGGAAAATTGGGTAAGCTTGTTTTCGATAATTTCCGTTGTTTAAATTTATTAAACTACCTTTATGAATATGAATACATGTGATTTTTTAAACATATAAAAGATAGAACGATTGGAGAACAAGGAAGAGCAATTAATAAAATTTGCGTTAATCCGATGCAAGGAAGTTTAATGTTGTGCGCTCTCCAAGATTGGACAATACAAATGTGGGTATGTTCAAAAACTCCAAAACATCTTAATGTTTATTTACAAGAAAATTATTTGACGTCCCTGTCATATATATTAGGATTTGAGAGATCGTGGACGCGCAAAGGTCACGTTTCACGGCAGAGCGAATAGTGTACGAGATGTTCAATTTCATCCATCCAATTCAACAGAGTTTATAGCAGCATTCGATAATGGAATGATTCAGGTACTTAAAAAATTTCACCTAATTATAATTAGAATTGTTGTTTGTTTGTTTGTTTGTTTAAAAAATATTTATTTTATTTGTAAAAGAAATGGGATATTCGGAAACCCAATCTTTACGAAAAAAGACTATTTGCTCATACCAATTCAGCATTAACAGTAGATTGGCATCCTGACGGGAATAAAGTGGCGAGTGGTGGTGTTGATAAAACAATTAAGGTAAAGAAAGAATTGTGCTAAATTATCAATTGAAAGCAAATTGAATTTAATAATAATGTTGACAACAATAGATATGGGATATGAATTCGGACGATAATAAACCTACTGAATTAATTCCGTGTATTGCTGGCGTTGCGCGTGTTCAATGGCGACCAAATCAAGTTGATGAAATCGCATCGTGCTCATTTAAAAAAGACAATCGTATTTTTATATGGAACATAAAGCGACCTTATATAGCGAGTTATTTCTTTGATGAGCATGAAGATACTCCAACTGGTGGGTAAGGCCGTTGAATGTCCATTTTTTTTTTTTTGGTTTTTTGATTTTCACCCGATTAATCAAATAAAAAAATACTATATTAATTATTTTAGGAATTTTGTGGCATGATACTCATGTGTTATGGTCGTGCTCAAAAGATAGAACTTTTATTCAACAGGATATAAGAACAAAATCTCATCGTCAAATAGATTTGCTAAATAAATGTGGGATTGGGTGGAATGTTTATGACCGGTTAGCTTTTGCGATTGATAAACCAGCGGTAGAAGATAATTCTATTTTAGATGATCTGTAAGCTGTTACATTTTTTGCCTTTGTTTTGCATAGTTAAAAGTATCTTTTGGACGTTTATGAATTTGGGATATTATTGTGTTTGTTGCTGGTTATTACTTCTAATAGTAATCAAATTCGGAGATCTCAAAGGAGGTTATCTCCAGGTGCTAGTGACTCTGGTGTTCTTGAGGTTGGTTAAATCACCACTAATATATATTTTACTTGTTTAACTGAGTTTGTGGATTTTCCTTTATTATTGACTATTCCCGTAAATATTAAAAAAGCCAGAGATACGATCACAACAAAAAACGGGCATTTCTTTTTTGACAATGTTTGACTACGATTCTTTTATATATTTGGCGGAAAATTATCGGATTTCAACCGATGACATTTGGAATACGTGTCAACATAATGCAAAGGCAAGCTGAAGAATTTGAAAAGTTAATGGTTAAATTTTTTATTATTAATATTAAATCAATTAGATTGCATTGAAATCCCAAAAATATCGTTCTTCACAAACATGGAAAATAGTTCAATTACTGTTCAGTAAGGATACACTTGAAAAGACTGAAGATGAAGAAAAAAAGCTCGTCACTAATAGTGACAACAGTAAGAAGTTAACGAAAATTAGTCTTTTTATGAATAGAAATTAATTGATAATATATTTAGAATTTTTTCTTTTATCGAAGGCAATTTAACTTTATTCAAGAACAAGTCAATAAATGCATCCCCGAAAATTTCTACAAAGTCTCTTGGCGAAAACAACAATAATAATACTATTCAGAATGTCGATCACCCTAAAGAAAAAGTATCAGATGGTATGCAGGAAGTAAGTGTTTTATCTTTTGTATAATGTATTATCGATAGCTTATTTTTGGAATTATTAAAGAAAGATTTTTAAGAATGAAGATTCCTTATCCGAATCAGAAGAAAGTGACGAATTCGTCACAGATGAAAATAGGGAAAAAGAAAATATTCCTGCGACCCAACCACCACCGCATTCAAATCTTATAAAAATGACTAGTAAATTAGTGCAGCCGACACTTAAATCAGCAGTGAGGCTTGTGTGGGATCATGAACCGATCATGGACAGTCTATTGGAATATTACGCTGAACAAGTAATTTATTTATTCAATTTATAAGATACACAATATCGTCAATCCATATCCACTGAATTTTTTTGTGGGGCTTTTTTTTCAAGGGAGATGTGCAAATGTGCGTTACTTTGGTACTCGTTCTGAATGAAAAATTAAAGGTGGACGAAGATTGTGTAGAAAGATGGCTATTTTCGTATATTGGTAATCTTGTGATTTATCTTTTTATTTTGATCCTTTAATTCATCGTAATATATAATCATTACAGAACTTCTTCATCGATTTCAACTTTGGATACCTGCCTCTGCGATAATATCATCATGTAAAATACCTTCTGTAAGAGTGAAAAATCAGGTATTATCAATAATACAAATGAAATTTCGGTATAGATATAATAATCCAAGAGATCTGATTCTTTTCCTCGATGTAAATAGGAAGCCACAACTATCTATACTACATGCAACAATTGCTTCAAACCCATAATAAATTCACATAATGGTTTCTGGGTGTGTGATAAATGTCAAAAACTCTTGAATCCATGCTCAACATGGTATGAAATAATATCTTCTATTATTTTTCTATCTATAAAACATTTACATTATCCCAATTTTTAGTCATCAAATAGTTAAAGGTCTATACTCATGGTGCCAGGGATGTGGACATGGTGGCCATTTAGCACATATGTCAGAGTGGTTTCAGAAAAGCGCAGAATGTCCAACTGGATGTGGTCATTATTGTGTACATGCATTATTTGATAAAGAACATTCCTAATTTATTGTATTATAAAAGAAATTCATTTATATCTTTGATTCATTATGTTTATATTATCTTTTTCGCATGTTTTTAAATAGACAAGATCGACATTAATTGATCTCCCAACAGATAACGATAACGATAACGATAATTGCCCATATAATTTTTTTAAAGATCTGTATTTAAATTTATACTTTTTTGGAAATGGCAACCACAGTGCCAACTCTGACTGTTAAAGGCCCTCCACCTCGTAAACCTATAAGGTGATTCATATTTACTATTATCAAATAATATATACCATATAAACTCTCTTATTTTTTGATAATTCATAAACATGAATAATTAGAGTATGGGTCGATGGATGCTTTGATATGATGCATTATGGCCATGCTAATGCTTTACGTCAGGTATTATATATGAGTAAATGATATGGAGGAATTTAATGAGAATGTTTAATTTAATTTTGCCATTATTTAAGGCAAAAGCTATGGGTGATTTTTTAGTTGTAGGTGTTCATTCTGATGTTGAAATTGAGAAAAATAAAGGGCCTACTGTAATGAAAGAAGAGGAAAGGTAATTAGACATTGAATGATTTGATTGAATTTCATTTTATATTATTATTTCATTGCTGTATTTATCAAATTAAAAGATATGCAGCAGTTGCAGCGTGTAAATGGGCAGATTTAGTAGTTGAGGATGCTCCATATTTCACAAGTCTTGAGCTTTTAGATAAATATGAATGTGATTTTTGTGTGCATGGTGATGACATTACAACTTTGGCGGATGGTACAGACTGTTATCAAGCAGTAAAAGATGCCGGTCGATATCGAGAATGTAAACGTACACAAGGAGTCTCTACCACCGAACTAGTTGGTCGTATGTTACTAATGACACGTGATCATCATCGTCGAAGACACTCTTCATCATCTACTTCGGCACTAGCTTCAATTAGCACTGAGGATTTGACCACCTTTACTAGTAGTCCATCGAGACATTCTCATTTACAAGAGACCAAAGTATCGCATTTTTTGCCCACTTCTCGAAGAATTGTACAGTTCTCGGAGGGTAAAGAACCGAATCCGGATGATAAAGTTGTTTATGTTGATGGTACTTTTGATTTGTTTCATATTGGTCATATTGAGTTTTTGAAGCGAGCTAAAGCGTTGGGTGATTATCTTCTTGTGGGCGTTCATGACGATCAGGTGATTTATTTTTTTTAGTATAAATTTGAATCCATTCCTTCATCTTATTATTATACCGATTTTAATACATGCTTTAGACAGTTAATGCCATAAAAGGAGTAAATTACCCATTGATGAATCTTCATGAACGAGTTTTAGGTGTACTCGCATGTAAGGTACGGAAAATACATGTATTATATATAAATCTCGAAATAAAAAAAAATTAAAGATAACTCTCGAAAAATACAGTATGTTGATGAAGTCATAATCGGAGCTCCATATAGTGTCGACGAGAATGTCCTATCTAAAGTATACAAAGTAGATATTGTCGCACATGGCAATACTCCTTCGTTACCCGATTTGGATGGTAAAGATCCGTATGAGGTAATTATTTATATACTTACAAAGTATCAACATCTATCTTTGTGTTTATTCTAATATGTTTGTTACATAGCTCCCAAAAATCCGAGGAATTTATCAAGAGATAATAAACCCTTCAGCCAATATCACCACAGCGGGAATCATCGAACGTATTATTGATCATCGTAAACTGTATGAAGAACGACAGAGACGTAAAAATGAGAAAGCTTCGCTAGAATCACAAATGGAAGCGGCATCTAACTCTTGAATTGTTTTCATATTATTATTAGTAAAACTAGACTTTCACTAATTTATTCAAACCAATTTCTCATGAACTATAGTGCGGCTCTGATTCAAAGTGCATAAATAAGGAATGACAAATTAAAGCCATAAGACTCCTATCATATTGATGGGATCAAGTATAATGGTAGTCACTGAAATTTCGGAATTTGGTGTTGTATACTAAAGCCGAAAGCTTCTTTTAATAATATCCAAAATTGTTAAACTAAAAATAGTTTTTTTGTATACATTAATTGTAAATCTGAAATTATCCGAATTGCTTGCTGAAATTACTTTTTCAAAAACAATTATAAAGATAGCAACAACTGTCTGCATTCCGTGTATCTCTTGTGTACTAAACACACACACATGACTACTGCATCCAACACTAGTATTTTTTTCTCAGATCAATAGCTTTGCTTAAGTCAATAGTTGTACTTGCAGCACCACCGGAACTTGTCATTGCAGTAGCAGACGTGGAAGACACCTCATTCCGCCTGCTCTCCCCCAACAAATTCTATAATTAAATGTAAAAATATTATTAAAATATAAATCAAAAATTTCTAGAAAATACCTTTGGTTCGTCTTGCACTTCTCGAGCTTGATGCCACGGGATCAGTTCTAAATCGCGTTTACTAGCAGCGGTATCAGCAGGCAAGTACTGAAGAAACAACTCCCGCCTTTCTTCCTCTGTTAGGCGGGAAATTTGCTCTTGTATAGTTGGCATAGTCGGTAAAGCCGGAGGACGATACCCAGTCATTAATTCTTCGTAATAACGTCGTTGATGATCCTCTTCGGGTCATTCTGCCGGAAGAGGATTGCGACTTGATTGAGTTCGAGTCGCGGGAGATTTTTAAATAAACCCTATATTTTTGACTCGGTTTAAGTTATTTTAGAACCAGATTTTGGAGCTTCAGTTAAATTGGTTCGACTTTGAGTTATCCAGTTTGTATCTTGAACATATATTAATATACAGTATATCGATGTGTATGTAACGGATATTACACGGCAACCTCACAGATTTATTGTGCATGAATTTTTTCCTATATGAAAATATCAATGTCAGGAAATCGACTCAAAACAAATATAAACTCAGAGTACCTTTACATTAATATTGAGAGGGGAGGGAGCTCCGGGAAGAGTAGGTCTCGGGAAAGCAAGCCACATCTGGATCAAAGGCGATATCTGCTTCAATTTTTATCCTGTTTCCAGGTAGACAATAATGATCTATGAGAAGGTGAAATTGATTATTTGACCTAAAACAATTATTGGAGGATCAATAGAACCACCATTGCAGCTGTGCATATCGACTTTGCATCCAGACTCGAGGCTTTCAAGAAAAGCGTGTATTCTTTCACAGATATTTTCGTTCCGATCTGCTGCGATCCACGAATCAACACTGGACGGCTCCTGCATAATTTAGACTCTTTTTTGGTAATTTACTTTCCTACCATGTATAATAAACTTTTTATACTTTGAAGAAGATAGATTGTTGCTTTAAGGGTTTGTAAATTATCATTTCTATTGGCATGGCTTATGTATTCGTTCTGCTAAAGTAATGTTGGAACTGTCTATTAGCAAACTACATAAACTAGCTAAGACGAAATCATCCCAAGTCGAAAATGCGTTAAAACGAATTTTTTCGTTCCCAAATTTTATGTATACTCGGTTTAGTAATATTGGAACTTGATAAGCCAACTCTTTGGTTTATCAAGTTTACCAAAAGACGCAAAGGCAAATTTCGTGGTCATTTTGGTCACAAGTCATAATAAAATTGAAGTCATTGTGACTCAAATGAAATCCAGTGATCGTCGAGTCATAAATATCGAATTAGTTTTAATTGAAATTAACGTTAACTATTACTAATGGCTTCAGTGAAAACTCTAAACGTCTCGAAGCAAACAACTGGCATTTCATATAGTATACATGTTTTTCATTCCTTTCACTTGCATTTTCTTAGTTTCAACAAAAATTTATATTAAATCTATTTTTATAATAATTAATAAACAGCTACTATTGCTCTTGCATTATATATAAACAATCGACGGGAAATATCACCAAAAATTAATATTGAATGGAAAGATGCTAAATTGAGCACTAAGAATGTCGAATTAGTGATAGAAAAGTATATTATACAAGAATTGTTGTTGGCTTGACTTAAATTTGCTGATTATTAATATATATAATAAAAATCACATCGAACGAAAGCCAGGTTATTACAGGAACAAGTACTATCATTAGGTATCTTGCCAGAGAATATAAATCCTTGGAATTATATGGATCAAATGCGATCTCTACTACATTGGTATGTTTTAAAACTTAAATTTTTGGAATAATTTATTAGTTAATAGCTAAACAACTAATTTTTTTCTTATTAATATTATAAGATTGATCATTGGATAGATTTTGCGTCAAATACTCTTAATTCTCAAGACTACAAACAACTTGAATCAGGATTTGATGAATTAAATCATCATCTTACACTTCGTACTTATTTTGTTGGCTATAAGCTTACTTTGGCCGATATTATTATTTGGGGCACATTAAAAAGTGACGAAAATGTTAATTTGATTTTCAATGTTGCATTAAATAAATAACTCATTATTTTGGTCTTGATTTCAGATTCTGCTGTATTCAATCGTCTATTGAAAACCGGCAAAAATGTGGGTACACATCTCGCTCGTTGGTTTTCTCATATTAATACTATGTCATATATTCAAGAAACAATCGCATGGGTGCAACAAAATTCTACTAACGAAACTAAAGTGAGTCTCGTGTCTTTTTATTCAAAGAAATGAGATCAATAATAATTGTATATTGGTCTATAAATAATTTCTTAGAGTCGTTCTGAGGGACCTAACATGAATATTGGATTGGTTGATGCGAAAATCGGACAAGTTGTGACAAGATTTCCACCAGAACCTAGTGGTTATCTCCATATTGGCCACGCAAAAGCTGCAATGCTTAACCAATATTTTGCACAATTATATCAAGGAAAATTGATTGTGCGCTTTGATGATACTAACCCTACAAAGGAAAAAGTAATAAAAAGAGCAATTGTGATAAATTTACTAATTTTTGATAAATTCACGAATAGTTTGATCTTAAAACTTTTTAGGCAGAATTTGAAGAATCTATCAAAGAGGATCTTACACTGTTAGGAATCCATGCTGATCAAATTACTTATACTTCAGATCATTTTGACGAGTTGTACGAATATGCTTTAAAAATAATTACGAAAGGATTAGCATATGTTGACGATACTGACGTCGCAACGGTATTTATTCCATCTTTTAGCTTTTATTGACATGACTTTTCTAAATTGAACAAATTTATTTACGTTTTAGATGCGTGAACAACGCATGGATGGTATTGTTTCTAAATCTCGTGACTTATCTGTTGAAGAAAATCTGAAACGATTTCAGGAGATGAAAGAGGGAACTGAGTTTGTAAGATAGTAATATCTAATTTAATAATATACTTGTTCAATAACACAATTCCTTCCATTTTCATATATAAATCAAGGGTCTCACTTGCTGCTTGCGCGCTAAAATTGATATGAGTAATCCAAATAAAGCGTTACGCGATCCAGTCATATACCGTTGCAATTTATTGGAACATCATCGAACTGGGTATTAATCATTCTCATCCAATTAAAGAGACCATTCCAGTAATAATCTATTAATATTGACGAATTATTAAATTTTAGAAATAAATGGAAACTTTACCCTACTTACGATTTTGCATGTCCAATAGTTGATTCAATAGAAGGAGTCACCCATGCATTAAGAACAAATGAATATCACGATCGTAATGCTCAGTATTATTGGATTCTTGATGCTTTGGAATTACGAAAAGTTCATATTTGGGATTTTAGGTAGAAACAAATAATTCACATCATATTTATTTTTGTTTTTATATAAGAAATATTTATAAAGTTTATCGTTATTTATCTTAGCCGAATGAATTTTATTTATACATTATTGTCAAAACGTAAGCTACAATGGTTTGTCGATCAAAAAATTGTTTCTGGATGGGATGATCCACGATTTCCAACTGTTCGTGGTAATGTATCTGTGATTTATTTCTTTTTATTACTACAGCAAATACATGATTCGCTTATTTTATTTTTTAGGCATTCGTCGACGTGGATTGACCGTCGAAGCGCTGAAACAATATATTCTCATGCAAGGTGCTTCGCAAAATGATGTGATGCTCGAATGGGACAAATTATGGGCTCTCAACAAAAAAATAATTGATCCTATAGCCCCAAGACACACGTCAATCCTTAGTGATAATATGTAAGCGTGTTTACTATATATTCAGTTTATTCCTTTAGTTCAGGTTATTTTACTCATGTTCAATATATCTAATCGAAAAATTTAGAGTCAAGACCAAGATATTAGGAGGCCCTGAGAAACCATATGAGAAAGAGATACCAAAGCATAAGAAAAATCCTGATGTCGGAACAAAACATACTACCTTTGCATCAAATATTCTAATAGAGCAAGAAGACGCAAAAACTTTTGAGATTGGTGAAGAGGTAACCAAAAAGCCATTGACCATCTAAATACTCAAACCAATTTTGATTCTACTATATTTTTTCTATTAACGTAGATTACATTGATGGATTGGGGCAATGCTATAGTCAAAGCCATTAATAAATTCGAGGAAAACCCCGAAATTGTTAAAACACTCGAATTACAACTTCACCTCGAAGGTGACTTCAAAAAAACGAAAAAGAAAATCACATGGTTGGCCGAAACCGCCAGCATTATCGAAGTAACTCTGCTAGATTATGATTACCTTATCAATAAGAAAAAACTCGAAGACGGAGATGATGTGAAAGATTACGTGACAAAAACAACTGAATTCCGCGCAACAGCTTTTGCTGATGCAAATGTTAGACATTTAAAGAAAGGTAATTTGAACGCTATTCCTTTTGTGTCTTTGGAATTGTCAAAGTATTCGTTATTTATTCTTCTGCATTTTCAGGAGAAACTATTCAATTTGAGCGTCGTGGATATTATATTGTGGACGTTGAAGCAGCAACAACCCTAATTCGTATTCCCGATGGGAAAGCCACAATGATGGCCTCAAAAGCGACAGGTGATGTGAATACAACTGTGATCTCGAATACATCGGTGATCTCTACCTCTTTTACTTCTAATATCAAAATGTATAATATCCGTAATATATATGGTAAGTAATGGTGAAGACATAAAAATAAACGATTTTTAGTAAATATACATCATCATTTATTTATTTTGTAGGCGAGATATCTCTTCCAAAGCCTGAAGAGGTATCCAAAATGTATATTGTATAATGGGGACCACAAATATATGATATTAAAAACAGAAATAAAAACAAAGTTTAACACAAGTTAAATATGCTCAAAGTACAAGCTCAAGTGTAACATACAAATTTGACCTATTTGGAGATGATCATTAATTCTCTCAAAAGATTGACTAAAAGCAGCAATCCCTGAAGGCAAAAAACAACGATACCCATTTGCTCCCTTACTGTCGCGTGTATTATTTAATCTTCCTTCAATGTGCCTAATTAACGTATCAACTTAGAAAACAGTTAACAAACGAATAATTTTATAATGGCTAACTGATCAACGGTTTTGAAATTTGAAACTAATTTTCATCAGACCTATCTAATGCTGAACTGCAACACAGTGCAATCAATAGTCCACAAGAAAACGAATTCATCCATTTTCGGCCGCGTTATTTTATAATGCATGATTACAATGTGTGAAACGTAGATTTGTTGCAGTTGATCGAACAAGGTTGTACACCCAATTTGGATGATCTAACATAATTGTCATTACTATTACCTTATGAGTTCTTTACATCATTCATCATCGTCCGTTTCTTTATACAGTAAAGAAATAAATCATTTATTTATCAAATTTGCAAAGCTGTGTGACGTGTGAAAACTTGTACAACAATGCATTTTTTAAGCCTTAAAAAGTCTACTCGCGTTAATTGTTTCGTTATTTTTTAAAAAATATTTCATTACTGAAAAACATTTAAACTAATTATTTAATATAAAGAATCTCAAACGCACAAAGTAATGACAGATAATACAGCAGAGAAGCAAAAACAAACGGATTCGGCGACCACCACACTTGTCTCTTCGATCGTTTTCAATGGTGCCATTACGGCATCGATGTTAATTATTTTTGGAATTGCGCGTAGGTGGGATAAAAAAGTTTATCAACCAAGAACTTATTTAGTTCCTGAAAGGTAAGTTTCTTTTTTATGTAGTGAGAGCTTGCACTTTAAACTCACCAAAATTAAAGATTTATTCAAAATAATACAGGCGAAGATCACCAGCACTTCCTTCCGGGTTTTTCGGTTGGCTAAGCGTTCTCAAAACAACCAATGAAGAAATCATTCAACGCGCTGGATTAGACGCTTACATGTTTCTTCGATTCTTTCGCGTGTTTGCTCGTTTATTTGCTGTGTTCACGATTATTGGGTGTGCAATATTGATTCCGTTAAACGCGTATCAACAAGGTGACGAGCTTGGAATTGATAAATTTACTATTGGAAATATTCAAACGACTGATCGATTATGGGCGCATTTGATCCTAACTTATTTATTTTCTGGTATTTTTTTTGTTTATTTGTTTGATAATTGAATTTTTTTGTCTTTTATTTTCTATAGTTTTTTTTTAAATTTTTTAGCGGCGACTATTTATACTTTATACCAAGAATATAAGAATTTTGCTAAATTGCGACAAGAATATTTTACGCGACCGGAAAATCGAGAATCTGCAAAAGCTACTACTATTTTAGTTATGGGTATACCTCGTGAATTGTATAATAAAGAATCATTAAAAGCGATATTCGACTTATTCCCTGGTGGAGTAAAAGATGTTTTGCTAAACAGGTTTTTATACATCTCACATTAGCATTATTCTTGATTGATAAGACTTCTATGAAATATTGAGTTTATTCCCTAATTAGTGATCCAAAAGATCTTCCAAAACTGGTCGAAGAACGTGAAAAGCTAGTGACAAATTTTGAAGTCACAGCAACCACATTAATGGTCAACTACTTAAACCACATCAAAAAATCCGGTGGAGATATTGAGAACGCCGGTCAAGTACCCAAATCACTTCGTCCTCAACATCGACCATTGAAAGTGACAATGGTCGGGCAAAAAGTAGATTCTCTCGACACATATCGAGCTGAAATTAAAAGTCTCAATGAAAAAATCACCAAGCAACAAAACGACACTACAAAACATGCGCCGATGCATTCTGCATTTATCCGATTTAATACTCAAATTGGCGCTCAGTTGGCCAGCACTGCTACGATTCCACGGTTGTTGGAGATCGCGCCGAATGATGTTATTTGGGAGAATTTGAATTTTTCGACTACACAACGTATGATTCGCAAAGCTATAAGTACACTTGTTTTTTGTGGTTTGGTGCTTGTATGGGCTACTCCTGGTTAGTGTATATAAACTAACATTTATTCAAGTTTATGTTTTATTTTGCGAATTTTTAATTTTAAATTAATTTTAAATATAGTTGCTTTTGTGACGTCTATTTCTAAACTGGATAATTTGAAGAAAAAAATCGGGTATTTATCTGTAATCTTATTTTCTATTCTAAATATTCAATTATTGAATATTAATGAGGTCATTTCGATTTGAAAGTTTCGTGGAAACTATTGTTGATGCTTTACCTAACACCGTTGTAGGGATTATCCAGGTAATGAATGACCATAAAGACTTGTTTTCTATTTATAATAGAGATTTAAATGAAGCTTAATTTAATTTTATCGTTGTTTATTTAGGGTGTGTTACCTGCAGTAGGATTAGCCATTTTGATGGCAGTGCTGCCAATTATCCTAAGAAGTAAGCATTCTTTTTTTTTTTTGTTTTATTAATAGCGAACTTGAATGGCGTTAATTATTTTATTTTATTTATCTGATATTTTCTTGTAGTGTTGTCCAAATTCGAAGGTAATAAATAATATTGCATTAATCAGGATTTTGATTAAATGATGTAAAGGCAATTTACTAAGCTTTTTGATTCTAACATAATAGGAATCGTGAGTTACACCACCGTGGCGATTAGTTTAATGTCAAAATATTTCTTTTTCCTGGTAAGTGTAATTCTTTTTTTTTTATCGATTCAGTGATTATCACTAGTTCTATATTTCTTTTTTAATCATTTAATTTGAATAAAATTATTAGATTGTCCATGTCCTTTTAATTACATCATTCGCGACTGGAATTTCCTCTGGTCTTGCAGATCTCATTGAAAGTAATTATTTCTTTCCTAGAGTTATAATTTATTATTATTATTATTATTGTTATTAGTTCTTGCTAACGAATTTCTAATTTCTCGCTCGTCCTTCACATAAAAAGACCCCACCAGTGCTGCTAATATCCTTGCATGTAAGTGATTATAAAAGTATAGTAAATATCACTAGCATTCAATTAATCAAAAAAAATCAAAATTTTGTAGCAAATCTACCGTTAGCGTCAACCTTTTTCATCACCTACGTTCTTCTCACATTATCTGGTGCAGCATTGCAATTATGTCAAATTGGTCCGTTAGTTTTGAACTTTGTTTTCAAAAAGTTCCTGGCGAAAACCCCTCGGCAAATTTGGGCTCTTGAAAAGACAATGGCATCAATTGATTGGGGTTATTATTTATATTTAATTTTGCGAATTAATTCTTTTTTACGAATAACAAAATCTGATATGAAAATTTACAATAGGAACCACATTCCCACCGCACATTCTAATAGCATGTATTGGACTCGTCTATTCAACTGTAGCACCTTTGATCTTACCATTTGTTACCATGCATTTTAGTCTTTATTATCTCGCATATCTCTATAATTTTCTCTATGTATTTGAGCAACCAGCTGAGTCAGGTGGATTAGCTTTTAAAAAGGCTGTATATCATGTATACACTGGTCTTTTTATTTTTCAATTAACTATAACGGGATTAATGTTCCTTAATACAGCATTCATTCAAGGTAAATTTTTATTCTCATATTATTTTTTTATATTTAGCAATTATTTATTGAATATTTTTTTTCGTAATTCTAGGTGTATTAGCTGTAATTCTTGTCGCTATCACGTTTGCCGTAATGACTGGGACACGTTCACTATTCTTGCACAACCCATTAGTTGAATTTCTACCAGTTGATTTAGCTGGTGTAATCGATCGAAGGCGTAAAGTGATCATTGATCAAACTGAGGCGAAACCTTTACTGGGAAAACATCACAAAGACGATAATGAGAGTTACGAAGCAAATATTTCTCAAGAGACAAACACACGAAATTTGGAGGAGCATGCATTTTTACATCCGGCATTCATTGCCAAACAGCCAGTCATCTGGTTAGCAAATGATAGCACGGGAATTGGTGCAGAGGAAGTGAGCGAATGCTTGAGAGATGAAGTACAAGCCTCGACAGAAGGAGCATCGTTAGACGTGACTACTGGTCGAGTACATGTTGATAAAAACGGATTGCCTGAGGATAGAGATTATTATAAGCAATCAAAAGAAGAATAATAAATGAATCATAGACATTGTAAATTAATAATTTAAATCTATTAGTTTTTCATCTAGAGATTTGTATCTCAAATTTAATCCCATTAGTATGGTATTATACAAATAATATTTATTCTGTAATTATAGCTATTATTATTTCATCCATGATTAAAATTTCATTTTAATAAGTCGTGACGATCATACACTAATTTAATTTTAACTCCGAAAATCTTTTGTCCCTGGTTTCTAACTGGTTTTCAATGAGATGCGTGTACATAATTCTCCTTTTGCTACTCTTTTTTCGTAATTCGGCCAAATAAAGCATCCGTACATGTATATTAATTAAAAACAGAACTTTTTTGGTAACTAAACATTATATAAATAAATAAATAAATACGGTAACCATATCTCAACAAACACCCATTTTGTAAACGTACATTCTCATTCTTTTTTTAACATACCAAAAAAAACAAGCATTACCGAATAACAACCACCCCACCTCAAATAATCCAACTTTACAAATGTCTTCAGGACATGAGCCATCGATAACGAATTTCATACTGGGGTTCGCAGTGAGTATAGGCGCGTCCATTATGAATGCGGCTGGATTAAATATCTTAAATCTCGATCATATAAAAAATTCAATTCGACCACCGAGTTCGCAACGAAACGAGTGCGGAAGACCGTTATGGCATATGGGACTTTACTTATATATTCTTAGTCAGTTGCTTGGCAGTACGCTTGCTCTTTGTAAGTTGGATACATTTATTCTTATTCAATAAATATAGAAAAAAATACTAAATATTACCAAGTAATGATAAAATTTTGTATTATTTATTCAAAAATGATAGCAACCTTAACAATAATATAAACTTTTTTTTAAAGACTTTTTGAAAGCACAATGGGTTGCACCGCTTGGCGCTGTTTCGCTAATATTTAACTTTGTATTTGCTCGTGCTCTTGTCGGTACGCGTATCACTAGAAAGGATATCGTGGGGACGTTTGTTGTGATTGCTAGTGTGATATGGGTTGTCGTTTTCGGAGGAATGAATAAAGGAGAAGGTGGTGAGTAAGGTTTGCATTATCCATTCTGTTATCACTATTGTATTTATTCTTTTTCTTTCAATCTCGCAGACGAAAGTCTTACGCTCGAAAAACTCAAAGCTTTATTCATGCGTCCAGTTTTCATTGGGTATTTTTCAATTCTCGACCTACTTACATTTGGGGTACTCGGAGTTGCCCTGTACGCGTATTGGTTTGCAAAGAATGAACAACGGAAAAAAATGCATAGTTATTTTCGTAGTTTGGAGACTAAGCGATTAAAGAAAGTGGTGGGAATGGCAATGGCTGGTGTTGGTGGAATGCTCGCTAGTCAAACGTTACTTTTGGCTAAAAGTGGGTGAGTAATCGTGTTTACATTTAAAATCATGACATTAATAATAATAATATAGTATATTAAACAGTCATTATTTGACTTGACGATAATAGCGTTTTACTTTTATCAAAGTCTCTACAAGGACAGAATCAATTCACCGATAATTTAAGTTTGTTTATTCTTTTCGGATTAGCAGTAACTTCCGTATTGCAGGCATGTCGAAATTTTTAGTTTACGGGATAGTTATTTTTTGTTGCTTATATTGATGTATAAACTATATTTTTAGATCTTTTGCTTAAACACGGCTTTAAAACTTCACGATTCCGTATTAGTTGTACCAATCTTCTTCGGATTTTATACTGCAATGGGTCTCATAAACTCGATGATATATCTGAATGAATTAGACACATATCCAACTTGGGCACTATTTCTCGTATTACTGGGAATCGCTTCATTAGTCTATGGTGTATTGCTGTTAAGTGAAGCAAAAGACGCGCCAGGGATGACCAAACAACAACAAAATCCACCGGATGAAACTGAAACCGTTGAAATACAAAAAAATGAAAGCTCTACTTGGAGTGACAACTCGAGTACAGTGGCTGGATCAGATATTAGGATTATTGATGAATCCAAAAAAGCTATTTCTACTCTTAAAAAAAATAGTGAGGGGAACAATAATAATAGTGGTAGTAGAGTCTCATCCTCTGCCGCCTCGGGATTCTTCAAGATGGTACGACTGCGAAAGAATAGTACCAGTGCAAAGTATAGTCAACAGCGTCGGCGGTCCAGTGGTGATGAAATTATGACGATGACAAATATGGGTCCGCATGTAATAATTGATAGTATATCTTCAGATAACGACGAGGATGAGTTTATAGATAACAACACAGGCAATCTAAACAATAATAATATCGATAATTATAATGAGGGTTTATTAAGTGACGTTTTGGATGATAATCAGTCTTCCGCTATCATTATTGATAATAAAACTCCTACATTATCCAGTGGAATAAATGAAAGGAAATATTATGACGAGGAGGAGGAGGATGATGATGATGATACTGATTTGACAATGATGGATCCACGAAGTTTATTATCAGCAAAGAACAGAAAGGACGGTACATAACAACAAAATAATACATTGAGAAAAAACCAAAGAAAGGGACTTTACCGAAAACCTAAGAACAATGTCTTAGATCTCATCATATAATGTATGTTAATTTCTTTTCATTTTTAGATTATACCTGTAATTTTTATGTAATAATTAATTGTTTATGTATTTGATACAACATATCCATTATTATTGTGTAATTCAGATAAGTAAATATATTGCTAGACTTTTATTATCTCCTAATTTTAAAATTGTTTTATATTCATTTAATTATAAAGGATAAAAAAACTATAAATTTTAGACCTAATAATAATAAAAAAAAAACAAAAAAAAACTAAATTTTAGACCTAATAATAATAATAAAAAACTATAAATTTTAGACCTAATTGTTTAAGATTATGCTTTTACTTTATTCTCTATTATAATTATCGCAAACAAAATTGAAGATTAGAATTAACCAACGATATCGATATAAAATTTATTATTAAAGTTTGAATTGATAATTCTTCTTCCTATACGTCGTTGAATTAGTCTGAATGGTTGTTGTCTCCGTTTCTGTTGAGTAGCAGCATATGGTAGCCGCCCAAATACATGTACCCTTAATTATGGCAATTTGGGTTTGGAAGGCATTAAGAATAGCAACCTCCTATTGCCGAATTCAAATGAGTTCCAAATCCCAAATCTCACAACTATAATTAACCAATCATTTGGTGATTTAGTATAAATTTTATAATGCATCAAAAAACAAATACTAGGGATGCCAGCGGCTATCTTTTCTACTTTATCTTGCTCAGGGATTTCAGTGAAAATGTAAAAAAGACGAAAAACGCATGCTTAAATTTAGCTTGGAGAATTAATTAAAAATGTCGGGAGAGAAATTAGTAAATACAGTTAAAGTAACCAAAAACCAAATAAACTTCGCTTAAGGTTATAAAATACTATTTATATTATTATCAATGTACTAGAAAGTAAATCTAAACTTTAAGAATGTTCAATAAAAGAACTTAACCATCAACAAGATAATAATTATCATAAAGTGAGAGTTTAAGACTTGCTACCAGATTGAACATTGATTCATCAATAAGCTCTTGATTGATCAATCATGTTTTATATAGAATAATATAAGGCTTTAATTAGTATCAGCATTAGCATTAATAAAGATACAATAATTATAATAATAAATATTTACCTTAAATTTATTCCTTTAGCCATCATATTAATAATATCTGTAAATAAAATTAAAATTGTATATACTCCTTAAGTAAATTTAGAACTTATAATAAAATTAAAATTGTATATACTCCTTAAGTAAATTTAGAACTTATAATAAATTTTATGCTTGATAATTACTATCTCACTAATAATTAAGACTTGTTATCTGGAAGAGGCACCAATTGGACATCCATTCCATTAAAGAGATAGTTATTAATTGATTATATGCTCACTTTATAATAATTATTAGCTTGTTGATAGTTAAGTATTATTATTCGGAAAAGGAAATAATTGGACATTAATTCCGCTAATGGAATTTTAATTGATCAAAGCGCTTTAATAAAGAACAAAAGAGAAATTAGAAGAAATTTCAAAGATGGAAAATTATTCACCAATACAAAAAATGAAGATAATTCAATGACCGAAGAAAGTCTGAATTACCTGGTGAAGATAGAAATACGTTCTGATCAGAAAAATTCTCATCATACTGGTAATTCCTTGTTATCACCAGGAAATCCAAATGATAAATCAAGTACTAATCAAAGAAAAGATAATCAATTACGATTATCATCATTCCGTTATCTTTGATAGTTAAGACTTATAATTTAGAAGACATATTTTGTTAATAAAATAATTGATTGATCATAGTACTCACTTTATAATAATTATTACCTTGTTAATAGTTTAGTCTTATTCAGAAATAATTGAACATTGATTCTGTTAATGGATCTTTATTGATTGATCAAAATGCTTCAATATAAAATATAAATCAAAAGAAAAAATATTGATTATAATTAGAATTAAATTGATATAAATCAAGAAAGAAAGCATTGATTGTAATTAGAATTAAATTAATAAATATATTAATTATAAATTTTAAATATTTACCTGATCATAAATTTATTTTTTCTGTAACTCCTTTAAGTCATTATATTAAATAATACTTATAGTATAGATATTAACGTCTAATAAATATCTATTTCCCTTTTCCAACTAAACTTACAAGTAATCCCCTGAATTTGCCTAATTATCTGATACCTGCAATAATACTAGCAACTTTTAGATTAAAAAAAATAAATCAAAATATAGATCTTGCTAAATATGATACTTACCTGTATTACAATGTGTAATATGATATAATGCAACATGATATAATATGATGCAATGCATCAGGAACAGATAAAATCTTGCTAAAAGAACAGATATCATGATTTATATAAAAATTTTCTTTCTTCCTCCTCCAAAGCCAAAAAAATTATTTTGCTCATCATTATACAACTATTTAAATAATAAAATAAATAAAATGTCAGTCATAAATAATAATATTAATGGTATATTATTAGTATTAGATGATTAAAGAACATGATAAATATTTTGCAAGTCGAACAGAAATTCATATTAGTTTTGAACTAAAATTCTTTCAAAAAAAAACTTTTTTTAGCTGTTAGTAACATTAAAGAAAAAAAATTATGTACTCGATATCGCTGTAAAAGATTGATTAGAGAATTTACTCGAGTGAAAGGAAGTCAAATGAAAATCTTTTCTGTGTGTAATACTTGCACTGAAAAAAAATATAGGAATCAAAATGCATTTTCCAACGAAATAGTGTTTTTTAACAGCAATATGAAAAATAATCATGAGAGTGTGATTGATAATTCAGTAGAAGAGGAGTATAATGAGCTATTATATGAAATTGAAGATCTGGAGGAAGTAATGATCACACAGTTCTGTGATTGTGAAGCTGAAGATAAAGTTGTAAAGTTTTTTATAAAAGTTGTATTAGATTTTGATCTTGTTGGAGAGGTATCTGATAAGAAAGAAATCTATTAACATATCCTTAATGATCTTCTCAATCCTTTAAAGAGACTTTCTGGATATCATTGGATAATTGAACATTTCTATTTACATACTAAAAATGATCAGCAAAAGAGATGTGTAATATATTATCTTTGTTGCAGCCAATAAAAAGATCATTAATTCAAGCAACCAAGAGATCAGTCAGTTAAGCATATCAATGAAGCAAAATCTATGATTCAAAGATTCAACTGTAAGAGTTCAATTACAGTCAGAATTGATTTTGACAAAGGACGAAATTTGCTGACTATTCAGCATCTTGAAAAGCACATATATCCCATACATTACAGATCTAAGCTATTAGAAAATGCCAAAGCGTGAATTAAGAAAAATATAATTTACAGTTTGCGTAAAAGTAAAATTTATAAGTATCTTCGCAGAGAAGAATTAATAGATGGAAAAATACATACTTATCAGCAAGTATATTATTGAATTGTGCAATTCTCAAAGCAGCAATATGTAACTGATATAGCAAACCAACTAAAATCTGCTAAAAAGTTCATTGAGCAGGATATACTTCAATACGAAGAGTTCAAAGTCATCTTCTATCTTGAAAATGACTTTATTCAGAGTCTGGAATTTATCACATCTTTTGTAAATAAAGTTGGGAAAGAAAATATTACAGAGATCATTGTAGATTCAACATTTAAAACAAACCAGCAAAATTTGAACTATTTGCTATAAATAATAACTGTGATAAATATGATGTACCTCTAGTATATCTTTTCCTGGACACTTTTATCACATCAGAAGATCAAGTATCTGATCTAACAAATATAATACATACATATATTTTATAATATTTATAATTGATCTCTTATCTATATTGTAAAGTTAATATTATATAATTGAATTAATAAAAAAAATTATATTTAACTTGTTTATAAATTAACTTTTAAAGAATATAATTATCTTTAAATATTTCTGGTCTCATTCTAGTTAATTAATAAATAAATATATATTACCTATCTTTAGATATTTCTTATTTAAAATTATATCTTATAAATTTTTTCACTTGATTTAATATTATATATCATATGATCTTCTGTAACAAAGCTTCAAATTATACAAAATAGTAATAATATATTTTTTAAATTTTTTTTTGATAAAGTTATTATTATAAAGTTATTGTATATCTTTTTTTTTTTTATTTTTATTTTGTAATTTGT